ACAATAAAAAGTATCTACTCATAGGGCTGCCATGGGACCTTAATGGGTTAATCTATGTAAAGCTCTTAAACTATTCTCTGGCACACAAGTTGAGCTTCCCCAAAAGTCTTAACTAGACTGGGAGCATCATCCTCATCACCACCGCTGTCCCCCACACTCACCGCAATACACCCTCTGCTCTCGGCACCCACGACCACTCACTCCCTGTCTGCTCTCCGCTCTCCCAGGTCTCCATCTCTTGGCGCTTATAGTTCCCCTGTCCACAAGAGCCACCCAAACTTCTCTTTAAGGCAAGCTCCTATTCCTCCATCAAGACCCAGATCAAATGCTACCTCCTCCCTCATGCCCCTAGAAGCAGTTATATATCCCTCCTCTGTACATACAGCTATCACAGAATTTAAAATGTGCTGCACCAGGCACAACTCCTGAAGGGCAGATGTCTTCGCAAGCGTGTTCCCAACACAGCGCCTGGCCCACGGCACGTGCCTGACAAATGCGGGATGCCGGGGGAGAGTGGTCATCAGAGCCCTGTGTATAGGATAACTCCTCCGTGTGGGCTTAACTAAAAAAGGCAGACTTGGGGGCTACGTGGGTATAAGTGGCCCATCCCCTGCTCCCTGCCAATGTTCATGTGGAAGCATCAGAAAAACCCAGAAGTAAGGAAAAGTGGTAGAGCTGCTAATTCTTGATCCAGTCCCCCAAATCTGTTCCCTGACAAAGTCTCTTCCATCTCAACACACCCAGTTAGAAACCACCACCTCTCCTTTCTATCACTGCCAATACCAGCTCTACCAAGTCTTATTGGTTCGCTCTCCAGAATGGCCCCCAAATTTGTGCACTTGGCATCATTTCCCAAACGCCTCTACCCCATAATTTCATCCCTGGATCTCTTAGCTCAGCCATTGCTCTCCTCTCTGAACATCAGGTCTGATCCTAGAGCTTATCTATGTAACTCTTCCCACTGCACTTGGCATCAACTCAAGCTCCTTGCAGGGCCCCACAGACCCTGCCTGATCAGACCCCTGACTTCCTCCCCATCCTCCCCACCAAAATCACTTTCTTCCCCCACCCCTACACCCACACCCAACCTCAGCTATGCTGGGTCCTTTCGCTTTCTGGAACAAGCCAGGATTTTCCTACCTCAGGACCTTGGCATATGCTGTTCCCACTGCCTAGAAGGCTCTTCCTGCTCTTCCCACAGTTGGCTCTTTTTCTTTGTTTATACTCAGCCTAAATGTCAGCTCTCTGGAGAGGCTTTCTCTGACACTCCTGCGAGGGAGGCTCTCTCCCCACCCCTCAGCACCTTATCTATGATCTCAGCACCAGGTTTTTTGCTTCAAAGCACTTAACATGTGTCATCGGTCTCACTGATTTTGTTCTGTCTGCTTAGAAAAACAGGAGACACACGAGGGCAGGGACCACGTCTGTCATGTTCCCTGTTGCCCCTCTGCACATAGTATGGCGCCCAAATGAATGCATCTTTGTTGAATGGCAGACGGTATCAAGTACCTAGCACACGCCGAGCAAGCCGCTGTAGGAGTGTATGTGCAGCTCATTAGACCTTCACAACAACCCACAAAGTACTTACTCTTCACACTTTACAGATCCAGAAGCCCAGTTAGGAAATGAACTTGCCCCACGCCATAAAGTCAGGAAGCAGTGGAGATGGAAGTGACACTCAGTCTCACTTTTCCCGCCGTGCCAACTGCTCTCCAAACCCCATCACTGCCTGCAATATGGCCAAGCTTTCAGCCGACACTACCAGCCTCACCAGCAGCCTAAATCGCATGGCAGCATAATTGGCTCCCTTCATATCTTTATTTTTACCTTTGTTTAAACCTTCAAGACATCAGACTTAAGGAAGACCCTGCTGAGATGCTCAAATGACTCTGGCGTAATATTTGTATGGTTGTTGATTATTATCATATCCTCAGCCCTTGCGCTCCTCTCTGAACATCAGACATATTTTTCACTTGTGTCCGGTCTTACGGGGAAATTGGAGACAATCCGTCTTGCAGGCTGAATACTGCACCGTTAGCCCAGCGATATGTGGGGAACACAAGGTGGGGATGGGAAAGGTTGGGAGAGCTTGGCATGGGGCAAGATCAACAGAAAACTCGCCTATTAAAGTGATAGTGGCTGTGACCTCCTATCCATCTACTAGGATTAACAGTGTAAGTGGACAGGTGTCATCAAAGCCACCAAACCCAGGCCATTTAGCCATGGATCCCACCAGCACAGCTCGTAGTCCAGTTCAGAAAGTGTATCTACAATAAAAACTTCACCACCAACAACAAAATGGCCAGATGTGGCCCGTGACATTGGTCATTGGTCATGTCATCAAATGCTCATAACAACCCTCTGTGGTAGGTACTAACATTATCCCCATTTCAGAGAAAGGAAAACTGAGGAACAGAACGGTTCAGTAACAGCTGTTAAATAGCAGGATGGCGTCACCTCTATCTTTCTACGCTGCCATGGTCAAGCATTCCCATGGCCGGAAGACCTCATGTCACCATGTCCCTTCCAGGTTCTCAGACTTTCTCTCCCCTCCTCCAATTTCTAATATTTCAACCGATTTTCTTTAATGTGTCTACATCTCATACAGCCTTTTATGGGAAAAGAGAAGGAAGGCATCTATTTCTAAACAAAATGGTCCAGGGATGAGCAGACCATCTAGAAGTTAAGTAAGAGGGCAATGCCACGCCGCCTGCAGTCTGTGCTCAGTGACGGTGAGTTTCCTTCCTTCCCATCAATCCAGCTCCCGTTGCAGACCCCACCGTTGTCTTGGGAAATCACAGTCCAACAGCAAAGACTGCCACTGACCTTTGTTTAGCCCAGCAGTTCCCAAAAGCATTTAACAATGGAAGCCTATTTTGAGAAACGCCTATTTCACCTGCCAAACAAATGTGGGGAAATGCTTACCCGGCCTCTGAGTGAGCCACTGGCTCTAAAAGAGGAGTGTGTGCGAGGACAAGCCGGGGGACCTTCCCCAGGGAGGAAGCCCCACAGGACTGTCAGCCCTGCTGTCCTCAGTGTGGCTTCTTGCTTAGTGTCCAGATGCCCCACTGGAGCTAGTTGTCTATTTAGCTCCTTCCAGACCTTCTCAGGGACAGGTCCCTGGTGCTGCAGACTCGGGCTGGGACCCAGCTCCAAGTGTTGATGCCCAGGGGCTGGGCAAGACCTCCTCCTAACAGTGGGCACTGCTCCTCAAAGTTCCCCACATCCCCCCCACTCCTCGCTTCTGTGAGGGGTTGGCAGGACTGCAGCAAGTGTTCTGTGGGACAGAGGGAGCTGCCCCGAGGCCCCTTTCCCTTGGGGGCACTTCCAGCTGGGGCTGTCCTGGATTGGCGGTGGGCAGGAGGCTTTAGCTGGGAGCCAGGTTCCCAGAGCATGAGGGACTCTGTTGGCAGCACAGCTGGGTTCAGAACTAGGTCCTTGGGCTCTAAATGTCAGGATCGAGTTCACCGGCCTGAACCTTTGGCTGGCCTTTGAAGCTTAAACTCCCTTTCTGCTTAAGTGACTAGGGGAATGCAGATTGCAAAGGGCCAGCCAGTCTGGAAAAAGTAAGGAGGCAAAGCTGTTCCATGCAGGCCAGAGGTTGGCTGCCCTTGGCAGACATGTGGGGTAAGGCAGGGGTGGGGGATGCCCATTGGAGAGAGCTCTGAAGATGTTCATAAACATGGTGGCACTGAGGGTCTGTTGGAGGAGCTGTGGGGAGCTGTGGGGTCCAGAGGTGAGAACTCACAGGGCCGGGAGGCCCCACTGGCCAGGGAGAGGTGGGCCATGGAGAGCAGCTGTCTTGCTACCCCAGATCATACAAGCTCATGCCCTCTGGAGTCAGGAACCTCTGGGCTGAGTCTCCTCAGCAGCATCTCTGCTTGAATATTCCCAGGGACAGGAAACTCACTACCTGCTGAGACATTCCAGCACTGGATGGCTCCTGCTATTTTAAATGTCTGCCACATGTTGAATCGATAACATTCTCCCTGTAGCTCCCTCCATCTCTTTGGGATGACCATCCTCCATGGTCCCCCTCCCATGGGACCATTCACGCATCCCAAGTCTTCCTCAGACTAAACATTCCCAGTGTCCCCCCATGATGCCATCTTCAGCCCCTTCTCATCTTAGACCTTCCCCCCTGCTGGGCTCCAGTCCCCCCTGAAATATGCTCTGAGATACACCCATGGCACCTGTGGTCTGTCGGACCATCGGCGATCCGGTGCAACGCCCTGCCTCGACCCACAAAGTCTAACCTCCAAAGGGCTCCTCAGGCAACTAGGTGGCACCTAGAGACTTCTGCAGCTGTAGGGGTCAGTGCTGTCTGACAGGGCTCTGGGGGCTTCGGGGGCTCCTTGAAGACCATCTGGGGCCACAGGGGGTATGAGGGGGGTGGGGCCCGTGGGTGGGGCCAGTAGATGGGACCTCCGCCCCCATCTAACGGGAACAAAGCTGTTTGAGCATGTTTTAAAATGGGCTTGCTACATAAACTTGGGTTTGAAGCAAGGGCACCACAGCTTAAAAATGTCTAAAACTGCCGGCATTGCCTAATGTGGTTTAGTCTTCTGTCACATGCCATCCCTAGACAGTCTCCCCCCTCCCATGGACGTGCACACACCTCAGCTCAGGCCAGCACCAAAGAAGAGGGGCCATTCCCCCCAGATTGGGAGACCCAGGGCACTCCGTTCTTTTGCTCCCAGGGACATTTGAGCCCCGGCTCTGCTCTGTTCATAGGAACATAGTGGTCATGAGCAGGTGCAGTGGGCTTGCACATGGGTGTATGGGGAACGTCTATACCACTCACACACTCTTGGTGTGGGCTGGGTCGGCCTCACATGGGGGCCTGGGCATGGTGGGGACTCGGGGATTGGGACAGGCAATGCCCATGGGGTGTGCAGGAGGCAGTCACCAGGTGGTCCCCAGCTGGAGGGCGGGGCCCTGTCCCAGCCCACAAGAGAAGGTCATTTTCCCAGCCTCCTGTGGGTGGGGGGGACACTCACAGGGCAGCGTCTCAGCCCTGTTCTTCTGGATCATTATGCAGAGCTGTAGCACCAGTTGGGGGGCGCTCTCCAGGAAGGTCTCAAGGAGGCGCAACATGTTGACGTCTGCATATTCGTACATCATAGCCCAGTAGAAGCGTCGCTGGTGTTCCTTCCGCCGCTGGCTCTGAATCCCCAGGTACATGGTGCGGATATACCTGCCGAGAGAACAAGACAGAACACAGAGAGCGTGGGTAGGGGCCGGGAATGTGGAAGGGTCACGCCATTCCCCCAAACCAAGACTACCTGTGTCCATGTCCCCTCCTTCGCTCTGAGGTTTTCCAGATGCTTGGACCAGGGTTTTTTTTCCCAGCCCCCAGAGAGGGTGCTAAGGCTTTGGGGTGGAGGAGTTGGGGGTGGAGGGGATGGGCAGGCCAGCGAGGGGGTGTTAGGCAAGTCGTCCCCTTCCTGGCCTCAGTTTACTCATCTAAAAAAATGAGAAATGAAAGAGTGGGACCAGATGATCTCCCAGAGCCTGCCAGTGGAGCATCACAGGTGAGCTCTGAGGCCATGTGATCTTTCTCACATTCGGGACCCCAGGGGGAACATTCCAGCAGGATTTCGTCTCTACCACGCAGCCCTGTCCCCTCTCTGGGGGAGGAGGAGAGGAAAGTAGCATTTGTGAAGCTCCTTCTAAGTGCCACTGGCTGGCTGGCCATGTGGTGCCAGAGTCCCGGGTGACAGACAGGTGTAACTCCCATGTAGGACAGCCAGGGGGCCTGGCAAAGGCTCCACAGCTGGATGGCAGAATGACGAGGAGCTGGCCCCTGGCTGTTGGACACCAAAGCTCAAGCTCTCCACGAGGGAGACACGGAACCTGCAATGGAGCCCCTGTCCAAGGGTGGCATAGGACATAGTCACTCTGATGTACTGACCCTGCTCCATCAGGGAGGGACAAGCAGCAAAGAAAGTGGGTATAGGTGGAGGGCGCGGGCTCTGGATTCAAATGCTGGCTGGTTCTGTCATTTGCTAATTGTAGGGTCTTGGATGAATTACCCCAACTCTGTGTCCTTGTTACCCTTCTTTAACATGGAGAAAAGGGTCAGCATCATGGGGTTGGGGGGGAGATCAGGGAGATAATACGCGTGGTGGACATGCATCCGGGGTCCCCCATGGCTCACTCACACCTGAACTTTTGGAAGTTGTCTCTAAGCCACAGTCAAGGGGAGGATGAAAGTTACCATCTAAGTCAGCCAGTGGCCTCTGAGGCTGAGCCCGGGACAGAATGGCCAGCAGGGCCCGGACGAAAGCGAGGTTCAGGATCCAGTTAGGATCAGGAACATGAATCACACACAAGTGCCACAGCCAACAAAACAGAACTACATGTGTGGGTTTGTTTGTTTTTTTTTACATTTTTAAAATAAATGTTTTATTCCCCTAGTTCCATAAAAACAATGTAAATACAAGCAATCTGTACGTCTTGTGTGACCTTGACTGTTCCCTGGGAATGTATATCACTGTGTCCTCTAAAACACTAGGCCTGAATCATCAAGGTTGAGAGAGCAGGGTTGATATACTATGTGGTCCCTGCTGTCCTCAGGCAAAGTCAACTGCCTACTTGGGGCTGCTAGGCAGTCCCTCCTCTCTGTCCCCATCCCCACCCCCAGCCTGGTCCCCGCCATCACCCCTCTTGCCTGAATCAAAGCAGAAGCCTCCTAATCGGCCTCCTAGGGTCCACTCTTGCCCCAGAACATAGCTGCCAAGATGCACTTTGAAAATCATAAATGCAATCATGTCATCCCTCCCCCCGCCCCCAGCCCCGCTTCTTTCAACCCTCCCACGGCTTCCCATAATGCTAAGAATAAGATCCAAACCCCTCCCATGGTTCACAGGACCCTGCCTGCCCCTCCAACCCCACCTCCCACCCTCTCCCCCCGCTTTCTTGTGTCTCCTCTGTCTCTTGAGGAGCACAGGAGTTTGTCTACTGTTCACACCATCTCCCTAATGTCAATGGAGGCAGAAAGAAGACTCCTGTCCCCCAAGGCTGAGGGGTCCTGGTGGGACAGCACTGTCATGATACTGTAAAGGTAGTCCACACCCACATTTGCAGCAAATTCAGACAGCATCGTCAAGCCAGTCACCGAGAGGGGCTCTAAATCCCCTCAGCCCGGGGCAATGGGAGGAGCGGGGCGTCGCCTGAGACCTTACATAGATGTTACAGAAGCTCATGCTCTTGAAGTAAAGATGCAAAAGCATGCATTTATAAAATAGCCTAAAACTCTAAAGAGATGTTCCTCTCCAATTCCAAAACGGCGGGCCTCCCTCCAGAGCACTAATCATGTACTGGACCCAACAATGAGCAAGCGCTCCAGGGTCCCCTGGCCTGTGCCCCGGGACACAGAGCAGCCCTACTGAACCACTGGTGTGACCTACAACAAACACCCTGGCAGTGAGGAGCACCCATCCCACACCAGATGAGTAATACGGATCCCTAAGAGCCTTTGCGCGACAGTATCTCTGAAGAGACCCACCCAGGGAAGCTGGCATGGACACCATACTTCCCTCCTGACGCCCTCCCTGCAGTGAGCGGAGCGGCAGTCCTGCTGAAAGGAAAGCGGGCAAGGCTGGGGGTGAGGGTGGAAGGCAGGACGGCCCTGTGTAGGGCCTGGTGTGGGGGCCGCAGGTGCCCCAGGCCAGGCCTCTGCTGGAGTCCTGCCAGGCCTCGTGGGGCATGTCTGATCATTGTCATTTAATTCATGGGGAAACTGAGGCTCTGGAGTGAAACGGAGCACTGAATTCTGGTTCTGTTCCAGGTTCTGTTGCTTACTGGCTGTGGTGTGTCCCACGAGTCATCTTCTCCAAATTAAGGGACCAGAGGGAAGCTGGGAAAAAGGCAGGGATGTTGTTGGAAAGCTACAGGGTCACTGAGAGAAAGAGAGACAGAGAGTGAGGCAGAGAGACACAGAGAGATATAGAGACAGACAGGGAGAAACACATACACACAGGGAAGAGAGACAGAGAGAGAGATGTGGGAGGGAACGGAAAAAGAAAGAGAGAAAGGAATGGAAAGCAATGTCACAATTTCGGGTCTGAGGGAGAGGACCAACTGGAAAAAGTCACAGCCAAGATGATTTGGGCAAGGGAGGGCTTACTGTAAGGAGATAGGGTCACAGGTAGTCTGGGAGGGGTTGGGGAGCATCCAGGACGGAGGGAAGGGCCGAATTGGCCAGATCCGAGGGTGGCCTGGGAAGGCAGAGCAGTGGAGGACAAAGGTGCGCTGGCTAAGGTCGGGCCTGTGAGTCCAGAAGCTCCACATGCACCCAGAACAGTCACGTGCCCAGGGGAGCCTTGGTGCATTGGTCTCACAGGACAGATTGGGTTCCATGACCCCAAACTGAGCCCTACCCACGTGAGGCAGCTGCAACGCACAATGCCATGTGCCACAGACTCCCACAGGGACCAGATCACAAATTTACACACCTCAGGGGTACACTCAGACCACAGACTCTGCTTCTCCCAGCCTCACAAGGTGGCCCAAGGTGGAGGAATGATTAGGTGGCAGAGCCAAGCCTACTCGTCCAGGTCTCAGGCCAAGGTAACATCAGCACTCAGATTCACCTAGGTCTGCCCTGCCAGGGCAAAAGGAACACTTGATCTACCCCCTCCACCCCCATTTTCCCCAAGCCGCAGCTTTCCTCAAGGCCCTGCACCCGGCATGGCCATGGAAATGGAAGGCAATGAGCCCAGAACACGCTGACTCGACCATAATGTCTGCCGGAGAAACCAACGTTGAATTTCTTCTGTGAGCGCATTGCAAGGTGTGGGAAGAAACGAGGGTGGGAGTGGGCCAAGTCAGAGCCTCTCCCGCCGTGCTGATGAGCAAACAGATGCCGGCAGCCCAGAGTGCACCAGGATCAAGTCCAAAACCAAATTTGGAAATCATGCCTCCTGAGACCCCAGCTCACATGGCCTCCCACCCTGTAGTGGGAGCGACGTCGCAGAATCCAGTTCAGGATTTCCCAATCAAGTGCCTTCTACCTAATTCCACACCCTCTGGCTCCTGCACCCTCCTCCTCTATCCTTGAGTCCTTGGGTCCCCAGGAGGCAACTGAGGGTGCGTATAAAATCCGGAGTGGGTCTAGGTGACCTCTGAGGCCGCCCAGCCAGCTGCCTCTGCTAAGCCCCTGTGCAAAGTGTGGCCACAAGATGGCGCCAGAGCCTAAGCGAAGCAGGAAAGCTACTCTGCGAGGTGATCTCATCCCCAGCAGGCAGCCTCTTAAGGCCTGCACCCTTCCCTCAGCAGCATGGGGGTGCAGCTGGCCGGCGAGGCCCAGGACAGGGCCGGATGTGCTGAGTCCCCACAAGGTAGGCTGCTGCTCTTCCAAAACCCTCATCTTCCCCCTTCTCTGGCAGGTTCCGCGAGCTCACCATCTCCCCGACATTAGTTGACATAAGCCGTCCAATTCTCTTCCTGGATTTGCTTCCACATCTTACGGTCCGTGTCACGCCATCTCTCGCCTAAGAACATCGGATTGTGAAATGCATGGGTCTAAAAGCAGGGAGGCAGCGTGTCGTCATAGAACAATGGCTCAGGAAGGCTGGACCACATGGCCTTGGGCCAGTCACTCCCGAGGCTGGGCCTGCGTGATTCATGATCACAGAGGGCAGACTGGAGGACCTCAAGCTTCCAGTGTTTTTACAACTTAATCCTTTTAGAACCTAAATGAGTGGCTTCATTGAATCTGAACTCTGGCCTCGCATCTTTATAAATAATAATAGGGGCGCCTAGGTGGCTCAGTTGGTTAAGCGACTGCCTTCGGCTCAGGTCATGATCCTGGAGTCCCGGGATCGAGTCCCGCATCGGGCTTCCTGCTCAGGGGGGGGGGTCTGCTTCCCCCTCTGCCCTCTTCCCTCTCGTGCTCTCTGTCTCTCATTCTCTCTCTCTCAAATAAATAAATAAAATCTTTATAAAAAAAAAGTAATAATAGCTGATGTTTGTATGGCATTCATGTGCCAGGCACTGTTCTGAGCATTTCCTACTTATGAATCCATTTAAGCCTCATAAGAGCCTCTGAGGTAGATACAATATTACCCTCATTTTTCAGATGGCAAACTGCAGCACTGTGCTTAACGGATGGTCCTCAGTTTACCCAGCTAGGTAAGTGGGTGAGCAGGGCTTCAGGCCCAGCAGTCTGGCTTCAGGGTCAGTGCTATTAAC